ATGTTTTCTTTCCACTATGAAACATGTTATGAAAAGCTAAATCTCAAAACTGACCAGTGCATGAAACATGTATTCGAACAGCGAAATGGAATGAAAGAACGTTTTTTAGCAGAACCCCCGTAGGAAAAAGAGGATGACGATCACTCTCTCTTTCATCTGCTCTGAAGATTTTCCTGTCGGCTAATCTGTTACATGTTCTCATAGTTCTCCTTAGGGGAGTTATCCTCCCTCAAGGAGGTCTGGGGATGGATATGCACCCTTATCATCCTGGAGGAGGAAAAGAGAAACATTGCCATAGTTCTATAGGAGCATATTGATATCATCTTGCTGCAAATACTGTACAGTGGTCTTAATCAGTCATTTTTGTCCAGTAATAATATCTAAACATCCTTAAAACAAGATTATTTTAGAAGCAAAATTGCATTAGATAAGACTTTTATCTCCAGTTAATTTTTCATACCCCATGGGCAAACTGGATTTTATCCTTGTTTTAAGTATAAACATCACTAAAACCATATCTAACTTCGTTAGATTTATGCTTAAAAAAGAAATTTTGATTCTCAATTAAATTGATCTTATTTTAATAAGATTTACAGTTTTTTTTTTACTGGAAAATAAGTCAACAAAAACATTTTTCTGCACTGCATTAGCAAACTCAAAGTAGACTCTGAGACTTTGGGAAGAGGGTACTGTCAGAGATTTGGGATGAAGGGCTGATGGAAAATGTCGTTATGGTGCATGTTTTATTCATGTTTCTGCCAAGACACAGGAGGCATTTTAGAATTCCATTTTTAATGACTATTGATTGATTGCACTCAACAAGATGTAAGAAGAAGCTGTTGGGGTAAGAAAGCCATCGTGCACACACATTAAATACCTGTACATGTTTACATTTTTGATATATATAGTGTGTGTGTTCGTATGGGAGAGTGGGAGAAAGAGACATAATAAAACATAATAAAATTTTGTACATAATAAAACAATTTTGTGGCAAAACATGGAAATAATTTGTCGTTTTTAACTTGTTGTTTGCTATATTTATTTTCTTGGTCAGTGTCGTTGAGGGTTTTGGTTCTTTTGCTGTTGTAGGCTGTAAGGCCCTTTGAAATACCTGAAATCATTTGGTGAAGTGATATGGACATGTATTGCGGTCAAAAGCTGCCTGTAACTACTTTAGCTGTGTGTTTCCCTGAAAAAAATTAATCTTTGAATGTTTGTCAGCCAGTAAAAACAGGAATATTGTGAAATATTATTACAATTTTAAATATCGGTTTTCTATTTTAATATAGTTTCAGATGTAATATATTCCTATGATGGCAAAGCTGAATTTACTCAGAGTCTCATGATCCATCAGAAATCATTTTATTATGCCGATTTTGTGTTTCATGGAACATTTCTTGCTATTATCAGTGAAACCGTGATACTTTTTTCAGGATTCTTTGATGAGATTCAAGTTCAAAAGAACAGCATTTATTTGAAATGTCTTGAAAATATATTAAAGTATTCACTGTCATTGAGCTAATAGAAGATAATTTCTTAAAAAAAAAAAAAAAAATCCCAATCTATTGAATGGTAGTGTATATATATATATAAAATAAGCAATATAAAATAAAATTAACAAGAGATATTTAGAATTTAGGAATTCACTAAAGTAAAAGAAGGACAAAACCAAATACTAAGCCATTCTAAAATAAAAATTTTCAATTTACCTTTCACTTTTCACTTGTTATGCTGATGATGTAATTTGCAGTTCAAAATTTAGATTAGAAAAATACAAACCTGAAGGATTTTTACTCACAATTTTGGACCCACTGTATGTGCACACACTACATGGGCTGCGGAAGAGGTGGCTGCCAAGATGCGGCCTATGTAATATTTACAGGTTAGCTTAACATGCAATAAACACATGCACATTTTTACTCCAATGATGAAAATAAGGAGCCAGAAATAGAAAGAGAGTGAGTGAGAGAGTGTGAGAGAGAGAGAGAGAGAGCGGCATGTGAGAATGTGAGAGGTGTTGATATTGGATTTCATTACAACTGTCAATTTCACACACAAATACACACACAAACACAGAGCGTCTTGGGCTCTGCATACTCGGGGGGAGAAAGTATGAGATGTCTTGCATCCTGGAGACCGGCACAAATTGAATACTGTGCTGAGCGTTGCTACAGTCCCAGAGATCCCACAATAATGCAACTGCTATTCCCAGTCCAGGCTTCCAAAATAAATGCGTTTATCGCAGTTCAGCCTCACATAGCGGTGGAGAAGTGCTGGAAACAGAGATGACAACAGCTGCTGCGACTCACAAACACAGCGACAGGAAGGCAGCAAACACAAAAGCAGACAGAGAGAAGCTCTACAGGAAAACAACAGGCCGACCAATTGGAGTGAGCAGAGCCGAAAAGCAATATCCTTTCGTTTACTTGCACCTCTCTGCCATGAAACCAAGACAAAGGAACAAAGACATCCAAACAAAATAAACAGAGCTAAAGTGACTCACATTACCGAATCTCTCACTGTTGATTTTTTTTTTTTGTCTTCAGTATTTTAATATATGTAGGGCTTTAATATGTTGTAATTTTGTTAAACATGGGCCAGTGACAAAAAGAAAAAGAAAAGATAGATAGATAGATAGAATATATTATAAATAAAACAACAATAATAATTGATTGAAAGTTCTAATTATATGATAAACATCCTGTGAGTTTTTATATATGTGTTTCATCCCTCTGGGGTCCACTCTTTTTCATGCATCCTTGAAATGTGCTCTTGTCTTATTGGATCCATCCATCACAAGACACATTCATGATGAAAATATCTAAGACTGACACTTTGCAATCAGCTGAGAGCCCTTAAACGTCATGCTTCATGAGACTGTGGGCTGACGGGAGTCATAAAGCAAATCCTTTCCTATATCTAAATATATTTACCACATGCTACTTTCGCGTTCAAACCACCTGCTCACAAAAATTCGCATTAGGTAATGCCGTTCTTGCATTTTTGAGGGATGAAATGCATCTTTGTCACAGACTCGCATATAATAATTTGCACCTGTATTACAAAACAAGGGGTCTCGGAGTCAGAGAGTGAGCGAAAATTTCAGCGTTAATGATCATATTAATCTCTGACCTCACGGCTGGAGAAAAATGTATCTGAATTAATCAAATACATGCATAGTTAATTAAAAGAAAACAACAGAATTTTGACAAGTAGTGTGAAGAAACGAACACTAATGCAGTTGTGTTTAAAATTTCACATCTATCAAGGTTAAATGCATGTCTTCTTGTATACAAATCTGTTGTTTTGTTGCCTTAAATAATCACTGTTAATTAAAGAATACATCCAACCTAACCTAAACACCAAGATTGTTAACGAATACGAAGATTGTATCATTTATCTGTGACTACAGCGAGCCCAAGTCACGTGTAAGGAGATCAGGTATCAGTTTCTTAAAGGAATCTTAAACAAAGCAGCTTACTTTTCTACCATTCTCATCTGAAACATCACTGATCCCTTAATGAAATGACATACGCTCTGAAAATCCTCCCCTGCCCACAAATTCTGTCTGTTTATCAAGTGACCAGAGGGACTGACCACAGACGTAATATCTGATAAGGAGCCTAATCAGGATTCCTGTTCGAAGTCAAAATTATAAGAACCCTTGACAAGACACTGATAAGAGGCTAAACTTTCCCGCTCAGGCTTTATGTACTCTTTATTTCTTTCTTTCTTGGTTGTAGATGAAAGGAATAATTCACCCCCAAAAATTTTTATTTCTTCATTTTGTTCCAAACCTGCAGGACTTTATTTTCTTCTGTGGAGCACAAAAGGTGACTTTTTAAAAGAATATTCTGGCCAATCTTCAAGTGAATGAGAACTTGGACTAACAAGCTCCAAAATAATCGAAAAACAACCATAAAGTATGGTTGTTAAATATGTGTACTATATTCCAAGGCTTTTCTTGAGAGAAGTAACGATGATTTTTTAAGACATCATGAACGATCCATGATTCCTGTGAGTCAGATTAATTGGTTGATCTGGATCACAAAATTGGTCATGATTTGGTCTCCGAAGTTAACAGCTCACTTGAGGGAAAAATTATCTGTGAATTTTTATTTAAAATTTCAATCTGTCCATCACACAAATCTATCATATGATCTAGAATATTATTATATGGATTTTACATCCTTTTTGAAGCTTGAAAGCTCTGGACTGCATTTATTGTACTGTAATCGCACAGAAAAGTGCAACCAGTACAATATTCAATAGGGTGAGTAAATAAAACAGAAATACACTAGGGGGAAAAATAGTGCATAGAAAAAGAATGGAAAAGCAGGGCAGTGTAATACAAAAACGTGTTCTGTGTAAGCACCTTTTAGAGTTGTTCTAAAGAGAGTAGTTCTTGGCCTAAGTTATTATTAATATACATTAAATATATGGTTAAATACAGTTTATAGCTGTTTAATACAAAATACAGCAATGTAGAAATAAAAAAGCTATTTCCTGCTAAACAAAGTCATTGCAAAGACATAAAAAGTGTTGAGCCATGCTTCACCCTCTGGGGTTTCACTGTAAAGGCCTGTCCCCAAGGTTCCGTCCACCAGAGACACAATAATCAGTCAGCGTGGGAAACATCACCTCTTTGCTAATTAGAACCGCTGTATTTTTAGAAATGCAGCAAACACACGACAAAGGCACTCAATGCCATCCGCATTGTACGCATGGCAGAGCAAATTTCTACTTCGAGAACTCTTCCCATGCTGTCATTGCATGTTTTTATCCTCTCCCTCCCCATCTGACTGAGAGGGGACATTTTTTATATTCTGACGGATTTGTGGAGAAGATGCTACATGAGCAGTTACCTACATATTTTACTGAACCTAAGCTTTCTTCCATACTGAGCTTAAAATATGTACTTAAATGCAGTAAAACTTTTTTTGTGATTTGTCTTATAAGTGTTAATGTGTGTTCAATCGTATTCCATCAACTTTCCTCACCTTTGATCTCCTTCTCATTCTTGAACCATCGGACATCAGCCGCAGGTTTGCTGCCAGAGGTCACACAGGTCAGTGTGATTTGATCTCCCTCCAACACAGGCTTGGTGAGTCCATTGATCTCTGGTTTCTTAGGCATGCCTAAATATTGCAGAAAAAAGTAAGAGAAAGAGAGAGAAAGAGAAAGAAAACGAGAAAGAGAGAACGATGGCTTACTTTAGTGGGTTCAAAATATGAAAAGTAGGTAAGCGTGAATTTAATGGAAAAAGATTAGAAATATTTTATTTATCATCTTCTATGAACAACCCCAGTTCTTTTATTTTGACTGGGGTTTTTTATCGTTCAATGAGGTTAATTTAAATTTAGACCCTTTATTCAGTGGTTATTTTCATCATATTATTGCAGAGTTTAAAAACAGTACAGTGTCTTCAATAAAATAGAGCTTATAACTAGGGCTGTCAATCAATTTTAGATTTAAAATCAAATTAATTATATATGCTGATTATTTAATCAAATTGAAATGCACATATAATCAAATTAAATTAATTTTACATTTAATATCTATCGATCGATCGATCGATCGATCGATCGATCGATCGATCTATCTATCTATCTATCTATCTATCTATCTATCTATCTATCTATCTATCTATCTATCTATCTATCTATCTATCTGTCTGTCTATCTATCAATCAATGTAAAAGTCAATAGTGTCACTGTTTGTTCAATTTAATGCATCTTTGCTTAATAAAAGTATTACTATTATTATAATTTTTTAAAAATCTTACTGACCCCAAACTTTTGAACTGTATTGTATCAACATTTGCTTAAATAAAGATTAAAGATAATAATTAAAAATGAGTCTGTCATTGGCCAACAATCCATTTTTAAACTGAGCTGTCAATCTGTCATAAGGCTCATTCACACAGTACGTGGTGTTGCATTCCCTTTCCAGTATTTAACTGATGGTTTATGTACACACGAAAGCCCAAATTATAACATACAAAAGATTCATGTGACTTGACTCAAAGCAATGATCAAAACTTATCCTACCACCATCACCAAGACAGTGAACCTCAAATGTTTGTTTCCACGTTCAGAAGCAATCAGCATTTCAATCTTATGAAATATTTCAAGAACACAGGAAATTCTGTGGTCCACAAATGCATTACTTTGTCAGGAGCTTCCTCTCTGAGGTAGCGGGCGGAGACAAAGAAAAATCAATAGGGAACATTAGTCAGGAAAATTAGATATTGGGTTTGCTTTGACTGAAGATGAGATCAGACGTTTGGCATTCAGTTCACAGGCCTTATTGCTCCCCTGAGTAAGAGGCCTTAATCACATTCCTTAGAAATAAATCAAAGCAAAAACAACCACAATGTTTTATGCATTAAAAAGCAACAGAGTAAATACATCAGTCATTCTACTGCAGCGTGGCCTGCAACCTCCACTGGATGACGTTCTGTTTCTGAATATTGTCCCAAGATCAAGAAAAACCTGAAGATGCCAAGCTGTCACTTCTGATTGATTCAGTTCTTGGTATATAATATACAAATGTAATACTCAAAATCACTTAGGGTCAAATTTACTCACACCACTTTGGTGTATTGACGTATTTCAATTCAAGTTTATTTTTATAGAGCTTTTCACAATACAAATTGTTGCAAAGCAACTTTACAGCAAATTAAGTTTCTACAATATTCAGTTAATGTACATATGGCAGAAATGTACGGAAAAATCAATTAAAGACGTAATCAAACAGACGATTCTTTTCAAACGACGGTATTTCAATGTTTGTGCACATTTCCAATTGATTGCGGCAGCTGTAATTCATCAAATGATGGAGAACTGTGTTATTATCAATGTTTAGGCACACTTTCGATGGTTTAAGTGTCGATTTAGATGGAACGATGCTGTCCAGTCAAAATGATCCATTAAATATGTGAAAACATGCATAATATCCATAACAACACGTGTAACAAAATGTGTAATTAATAAATAAGCATTGTGTATATTACTGCATATTTTTCCTAGATAATAATTACAACATGGAAATTAATTGTAACCATTCATGTATTCACAATGAGCAAAACATTAATGGAATGCAGGCTTGTTGACAGAGTGTACAACTGTAATGATTTTAATGGTGTACACCAACTAATTAAAATGAGACTAGCTAATTGGGCTCCTAATTAATGCAGAACTATGGCATTAAGCACTGTTTGTTGGCTGTCACAGCTGACATTAACTCTGGTATGTTTGGGACTTGACAGAAAGTCTGTTTGACTTTTGATTGACAAAAGTAGTAAAAGTTGATAGAGGAAACAAATTAAACTTCTTTCTGTGCCATTTCTCAACACTGTTCTGTGATCATCTGTGTCTTTGTTGAAGGCGACCGGGTGAATCCATTTAATTAAATCCTGATCCAGGCCAAAGTTGCAATGCCCCCACTGAGGTAAAATTTGAATTATCTATCTGCTTTCTGGAAACGACAGTTGTCTGTCTTCAAAAGAAACACAGTAAAAACAATAATATTATGAAATATTATCACAATTAAAATAACTCTTTTCTACTTTAATATAATTGAAAAAGTAATTTATTCCTGTGACGGCAAAGCTGAATTTTCAGCATCATCACTCCAGTCTTCAGTGTGAAAAGATATTTCAGAAATGATTCTAATATGATGATTTGATGATCAAGAAGCATTTAATAATATTAGCAATGTTAAGATGTGTAGCTTTTAAAAATTTTTTTATTTCTTTTTGTGGAAATGCTGGTCCATTTTTATTAGTGAATTAGTGATTAGTGAAGTGAGGTGTGGCCAAGTATGATGACCCATACTCGGAATTTGTGCTCTGCATTTAACTCATCCAAGTGCACACACACTGTAGTGAACACACACACACACACACACCCACCCACACACACCCCCGGAGCAGGATTCAGGATTCTTTGATGGACAGAATATTTAAAAGAACAGCATTTATTTGAAATATAAAAATGTTGTAATATTATAAATATAAACATCTTTACTGTCATGTTTTATCAATTTGCATCCCTGCTGAATAAAAGTGTATTCTTTTAAAAAAAATTCTGATTTATGTGTGTTTACACAGTGCTTGAAGTGGAAAAAAATAAGTGCAGGTACCCCCCCCCCCCATTAATTAATTAATTAATATGAAATAAATAAGTACTTTTTAATAATTCACAATTTATGTATAGTGCCACAATCAATCAATCAATCAATAATTAAATAAAAGTTTTCAATACAAATTAGCACAAGTCAAGCTGCGATCCCAAACAGGACCTGCTAAATCGCCTGCTTTTACTACTATACGGATCAATTCAGAATCGCTAAATCTCTGACCACAGCATAATCAGCGTTCATTATAAAACACTCTTGCTTTTAAGCCAAATACACGCTGAAAAGAATAATTTTACTGACGTCTGGACGAAAGTCACCATTTTCCCCGCAATCGCTGATGAAATCGGCTGTGTTTTCTCTGCATTAGCGCTGTTTTGAACTTACTGTTTGGGGGGGTGTGGTGGAGCGGAGTCAAAAGTAACTATTTTTATATTATATTATATTATTTTTATATTACTTTAAACAATTATTATCAAACAATTATATTCATTTAGTAACATAAATATATCTTAGTGTAGGCTATATCTTTACAGTTTTATAATTCATTATCTTCTTGTCGATCCACTAGTTCACTTATTGAAAAATGCTAATTCATTCTCTGCCAGCAGGTAGAGCTTTTCACCAGAAATATAGCCATTTCCCCGTAACCGCAGTAAACAAAGCAGCTCAGCACCTGACTTTGAAACTTGCAGCGCTCATACTTAATCAATTAAATAGCCTTATAATATATAATAAGCTATATCTCATTATACATGTAAATATACATTTACATGTATATTTACATGTATATTTCGTTTTTTTTCACTGGTGCACCACCTGAGTCTTCTTCTCCAGTTTCTACCAGTGATCATTGTTTCCTTCCTGCTGTACTACCTGCGCACATATCAGTAGCATCACTGGGCTGTAGGTTGCCAAGTTGAGGGGACAAATGGGTTGAAATTTATATGTGTCGATCGTGTGAGAAAGATGCATTTCATACAAGATCTGGCAACTGGACAACCTTGGAATTTGTTGTTGTGATTATTCATATGATGAGGTTTGGCCCATACAAATGACTGGAGTTTTACCGGAAGCGAATGTAGCAAACATATAAAATATGCCCAGTGGGATTTTTTTTATTTTTATAGAAAGATTAAAAATACGGGAGAAATACGGGAACAGTATTTTATTTTATTTTGCTTTAAATAAATATCTTTCTTTAAATTCTAAAGACACTGAGCAAAAAGTTTTAGATAAAAATACAGGCCTATAAGTGCAAAAATGGTGTTTAGGTATGATAGATGATAGACTACAAGAAATTCAGTCAATATGAACAAAACTGGCTTGTGAAATTTTGTAAAATAACAAGTCAAGGCTAAATAACTCAAAATGCTTCAGCTGGCTGATTTAGGATGCAATCCCAGACACATCCTGTGTTAAATGATGTCTTACCCAGGACGGTGAGGAAAGCCTTGGCTGTTTTGACAGGCATGGTGAAGAGGGAGCAGGTGTACATCCCCTCGTCTGTCAGCGTGACCTCACTGATGTTGATCGTCAGCTCCTGCGACGTGGCTCGGACAAGCTCAATCCGGTTATCTCTCAGGGCTGCCAGAACAAACAATCAAGAGAGCACCATTAAATATGACACCTTCATTAGCATGTGCCATACTCAAGAGTGGCGGATTCTCTGACTTTCTCAAACCACTTAAAGTTTTAATGCATGAATTGAATACTTACCAACAGACAAGACATGAAAGCATTGAAATGTCAAGAATGTGCAATTTTAACCTAAAAAAATTTATTTACAAAAGGAAACATGTCAATCTATGAAAATATTCTCATATTATGCTAATTATGAGGATCAATTCTTTGCTACAGGGAAAAATTATTTTATGATGGCTTTCAGTCAGAGGGCAAATAGAATATGGATCAGTCAGGATTCAAATCTACAAAATGAGCATTCATCGATTTGAAACATACATGCTTGAGCTCACCTAGTCATTAACAAACTCTGTATTTATGACATTTGCAAGTTATTTACCCAGTCGAGTATGAATAAAAGTAAAGTTCAAACTTATTTTGATTGTGACCTCTGTGCAAAAGAGGCCTAAGGATACGGTTTTAGTTATTACACCTTTTAGTGTCCATCATCACACAGGCCTAATGTAAAGGTCAAAGTGCTAATGCAAAGGTCAAAGGCAAACGTGAAAGACGGGCAGTAATTCCCGAGGTATCTTTAACATGCTTTGTTCAATGATAATGACTATACTCGGGAAAAAGTCTGGCAGATCATAAGATATCCGCCATGTGGCGGCACAGTTTAATCAGCGGAGACAAGGTCACTAGTTCTAACCTTCTGCTTTCCATAAAACTCACTCAGACATTTTGAGGCTCATTGACGCTCTGTAACAACCTGCCAGAATATTCGTGAATGAGCTTTATGGATATTTTCTCCCAGGAGAATAGAAAGAATACATTCTCATGGTCAGTCATCAGGGTGACCTTTCAAAGCTCTCTTAATAAAAAAGTTGGTCAATGCCTTAGCCGTTTGCCTTGTCTTACCACCTGAAAACTTTAAACTGAATACAGCAGTGTTAGGAAATAGACTAGATACTCATTTATAGATAGCGTGTTTGAGTTTATGCGGATGAAAAATGAACTGTGTTACAGAAAAAGCTATATTATTTAATAAATAAAATGTGTAGTGCCACTATTTTCATTTACAAAGATCAACAAATACAGTCATAATTGCCTAAATAGAAGCTTTATGGAGATGAATTTCATTTTGTGATCACAGTAGGTTAATGCTCTCAGCCACATCGAGCCGTATACACACCAATTACTACAGTATGTTAAAGGAACTTTAAAGGAAGTGTAAAGTGGAACCACGCAGGCACACTCCGGGTATCCAAACAAACATCCCACAAACCCACTTACACACCTCAGTGAGGCCTTTCGTAGTTGAAATAAAACAGCCTAACTGATGTTGTGTGTTGACCATGTGTTTTCAGACGCATCTCCCCAGAGGTCTGAGTGCAGCTCCCTCTGGACAGCAGCATCTCTGAGGTAATTGAACATAATGGGGTTCATTACAGGAAGAGATGCAGGCCAACGCTGGAATGAAAAAAGAACTTGCGGTACAGGCTGTTGTTAATGCCTTCCTGTCCTCTTTCCCAAATGAAGTGCATTTCAAATAATGGGACCACCATGACAATGGTGTGTGGTGTATTATGCAAAAAAAGTGAATTATTTCAAATTAATTTAGATTCAGATGTGACTAATGCTGGGTTAAAGAAAAAAAGGTTAATCACAAGTCTCTGATGCTCAACATTAGTGACGTGCACAGACATTTTGAGGGGCAGGGGCTCAAGTGGAAAAAAGGGCACTTCTCATATTTATAAAAAATTTTCTAAACAAAACATTAAATATATTAGGGGTGTGCAATATTGTATATATCTCTGGGGTTTTATCGATAACAATAATTAGATGATATTTTGCTGAGTGTGTTATTGTGCTGATAACTTAAGGACTACCGTGGACACCTAAAACTCAAAAACTGACTCCTAAAGTTTGTGATATTCTGCATATTCTGTGTGGTGATTAGTTCACAGCAGAAATGAATCTTTTCCAATAAGTTTAAATTGATGTTTACTTTTTATGAGCATTTTTACCTTTAAGCCTTTATTTTTCTAAAAGTGTGCATCATCTTTTCAGTTAAATTCTTAAATTGAATCAGTCAATTACAATAATAAGTCATTTGGGCTGTTACCAGTCCAAAATCAGTATTGACAAAATTAATCTTTGCAATGCAGAGGAAACACAGAAGCTGCATTAGAAGGGACATTGATGCATTTACACACCGTTTAATGCAGGACATGAATGTATTTAACCTGCAGTTACAAATGCATTAATACTGTTTTGATATTTTAAACATAAAACGTTAAATACTGATATTTGAAATTATAAAAAAAAATGAAAAGATACTTTAAATGTGAAATTAAAACTGCCAGTAGGCGGCAGCAAGTCACTGTTAATAAATGAGTCATTGCGACTGAACCAAATCATTTAAACGGTGATTCAATCAGGAAGAAAACAGTGTCATGCTGCTCAGAGACGCAAATTCAAATTATATTTGTTGGCGAAATAGAGCAAAAACAGTCAATATTGTGTCTAAAACGTAAGTGTCTTAATATTAAATTGTTGTTTATTGAACTGCTGTATAAAATCAATATCACATTTCTCATGTTGCTTTTTGGTGGAAAAAAAAGAGCAATTTCGGGTGCCTCTTTTTAAAGACGACGTTGCTTGGCAAACTTGACGTTACGTCTTTATAAAGACGATGTGGGTCTTGCTATAGACAACGTATCACCCGGGCATTCTGGATGCGGTCGTTACCTGGCGCTGGGTGATGGTCATGATCGCTGCCTCTCGTGCCTGGGCATGAAGCACGCTGAGGTTGCTTTCGTGGATGGTTCATGCTCCCATTGCGGGGGTATGACCATCTCGGAGTTGCGGACCGGACTCCGTTACCTGCAAGGGGGCGGAGTGCCCGTGCCACTGCCCAGATCTAGGGTTCCCTCTGGTGGCAGCCGGGGGCGTCCTTTTTCTGGCAGTGGGCGGACTGGTCTTACGGTCACGGTGAGGAATTCCCCTAAGAGAGAAAGGGGATGCCCAAGCCCGCCGGCACTTCGAAACCAGCGGAGCTCTCATGAAGAGCAGGCTGGACCCTTCCGGGGGGGTACCACCTGTTTCTTCCAGGGCTCCCCCCGACGATCAGATGTCGATTGCAGCATCGGAGGGTGAGCCAGAGCTTTCTGGAGAGGAAGATTCGGCTGCGCTGCTCTCCTCCGGGACCGTAGCAATGCCTGGATCGGATCCAGAAATAATGGCTATGCTTTCCCGGGCCACCGTAGGGGTAGGGCTCGAGTGAAGACTTTCACCGTGTCCCGAGCCCTCAAGGTTGCACGATTGGTTCTCGGGGTGGTCTGCGCCCCGCCTCTGTGCCTTTCTTCCCGGAGGTGCATGACGAGCTCAACAGGTCCCCACTATGATGGTCCGGGAGCGCCAATTCTGGCTGTGACTGGCTGACATGCGCG